CGAGAAGAGGGGAAACGCTTCGGCAGCAGCGAGGGGACGATGTCACAGAGGGAGAGGAGAGCACCATCGAGCACGGCCACGTGGACGGAGCTGCGCGAGCCGGCTCGACACAGCAACCAGCACCCCAGCTCCCCGAACACTTCCTATCCACGCTGATGGAAACGATCACGCGTGCGCAAGTGGAAGCAAATAGAAGCCTTATCAATTCTCTGATGACGTCCAGCAGTGAATTTAGGGCCTCCACCCCAGTCGTGGCCTCTCAAACAAATAATGTGAACAGCGGGAGTGGTACTGCTGCCAGCGTCGCGAGTGTCGACGCCAATTTTACTAAGTGCACGGCGCGGTTCAACGGGTCGTCCCAGGACGCAGAGGTATTAGAAGCGTTCCTGGATGCCGTCGAGATATTTAAGGAGTGTGCGGCCGTGAGTGACGAGCTCGCACTCCGCGGATTGCCGATGTTGCTGGAGGGTGAAGTGGCAGTATGGTGGCGCGGCGTTAAGGCGTCGGTGACTACATGGGTGGACGCGGTCGCCCGCCTACGCGCGGCGTATGGCGTGGCGCAGCCCGCACATCAGATTCTACGGCAGATCTTCGCGACGGAGCAGCAAGAAGAAGAACGCGCCGAGTCGTTTTTGTGTAAAGTGCGAGCGTTAATTGCAAAGTTACCGTATAAGCTCGATGAAATAGTGCAAGTTGATATTTGTTACGGGTTATTACACCGACGTATTGTTAAAAGAGTTTCCCGCGATAATGTTCGTAATTTAGATGACTTAATGTATAAAACGAGGATCGCGGAGGATATGTATAAAACTCTTAAGGAAAATAAGGATAACAATAATAGTAGTAATTGTAAAAACGCGATTTCACGAACATCGGTCACTACTACCGGTCGCGATCTCACTCGATCGAGTTTTGATAGTACGAACGCGATCACTCCGCGTAGTAATAAAAATAATAGGCCCCGATGTAGTTATTGTAAATTATTTGGGCATCTTAGTGAAGAATGTCGCAATCGTGAGAAGGTTATTAACAATAATAATAATGATAAACGTTTGTATAGCGATAGCACGCGTAAGGGTATACGTTGTTACGGTTGTGGTAAGGAAGGTGTCGTGAGGTCGAAATGTGATATTTGTGTGAAAACTTTAACGAATTCGGATGGTAAAACTTCGTTCAATAATTTGGATGTAGATTTTAATAAACACGATAATTGCGTTAATAATAATAATAGTAGTATAGGTAATACAAGTGCGTCATGTATTAAGTTAACTAACGTGAGTACGCGTGAATCGTATCCTATGGTTAATATATCCATTATGGGTCGTACCGGAGTGGCGATAGTGGATACGGGCGCTACGCATAGTATTGCGAGTCCTTTATTATATAAAATTTTAGTAGACTTGGGAGTACACTTTAGTAAAGTTAAACGATTTGTACACCTGGCTGACGGTACACAAGGGTGGAGAGACTTGTTGACGGCCGAGGTAGGTATAGATATCGAAGGCCATAGTGTAATGTGTCAATTACTAGTGTTGCCAGGTTGTGACACTAGAACACTTCTAGGTATAGATTTCTTGTCTCGGGCCGGAATGGTAATAAACGTTGCCCATCGCACTTGGACATTTAAGGATAGTCCCGGACAGTGCTTTAATTTTATTTATTCGTACACACTTGACCCTGCAGGTACAGATTTATTGCACGCCGCATCTGATGAGCTGATGTTGCGCGCAGACGAAGGATCTAAGTTAACCCAGGAGCAACAGAATAGAGAATCTGTTAAGTTTTTAGGACACGTTATTGTACCAGGCGGAATCCAGGTGGATCCAGATAAGACGGCGGCTATTGATAATATGCCCGCCCCTCAGACTGTTAAACATTTAAAATGTTTTTTACAAACGGCGAGTTGGTATCGCCGCTTTATTAATAATTATGCTGAGATCGCGAGACCTCTTACGACACTCCTGAAGAAATCAAGTGCCTGGCGATGGGACGCCGAGCATCAGGAGGCGTTTGAGCGGATAAAGCGTCTCCTCGTATCCGCTCCCATTCTGCGTCAGGCGGATGAGTCGAAGCCATTCGTTCTCTGCACCGACAGTAGCGCTTACTGCCTTGGGGCTGTTTTAATGCAGGGGGAGGGACACGATGAGAGACCGATCGAGTACGCAAGTCGTCTTCTCACTAGTGCAGAGAAGAATTATTCCACGACGGAGCGAGAGGCACTCGCCGTCGTGTGGGCGTTAGGTAAGTTCCGCGGTTACGTAGATACTGCGAAGGTAACGGTTAGGACGGACCACCAGCCTTTGCGATGGCTAATGAGTCTGAGGTCACCTAGTGGTCGGCTGGCTAGGTGGGCCCTAACATTGCAAGAGTTCGACCTCAACATCCAATACACACCGGGACGCTCGAACGTGGTTGCAGATACGCTTTCGCGACCAGTTTGTGCTGAGAACCAAGGTGAGTGCGAATTATGTATGACAGTCGTTGACTTACCAAAGAGGAGTAGTGGTGATATCCGTAGCAATCAACTGTTAGATCCAGAGATTCGCAAAATCATTGAGGACTTGGAGTCTGACGAACCTTCTAGGGGGAGGCCATGGTCCGATCGTGGGTACACTATTTCCGATGGTATACTTTATAGATATAGCTTAGAGTCAGACGATGGAGAAGAATGCTGTATTGTTGTGCCCGAACACGAACGCAGGCAAGTGATGGCTGAACTCCACGACGCGCCTTTGGCAGGACATTTCGGCGTGGAGCGCACTTTAGGCCGTGTTCGCACTAGATATTATTGGACAGGTATGCGCACGTTCAGTACTAACTATATAAAGGGGGCTGCTGACCAGAGACGGCGATCGCCGCCAGAGTATAAGGTAGGCGATATGGTGCTACCTAAAACGCAGGGGCCGAACGATGCAGGACGTGGACAGACGGCGAAGTTAATCCCACGCCGGGACGGCCCATACAAGATAGGTAAGGTAGTTAGTCCCACTACGTACGGGTTAGAGAACGTACAGACCGGAAGAGATATAGGGAAATATCACGTTTCGCACCTCACGCCATTTACCGGCCAGATAGAGCCTCCCGTTAGGGAAAAACGTAAACGTGGTAGGCCGCGTAGATACCTAGACTAGCCCAACTGTGAGGACACTTAGTTAGGCTAGAGGGGGAGAGTGTAACGCGGGGTTTTTACAAACAACGGTGATCGCGGGGTATCGTGTCGGAACATGTACGATCCTGTAGGGCCGTGTTTCGTGCGATCGTATAGTTTAGGCGCCCGCGCCCCCCCGTCTCCCGCGAACGCGTGAGCGACGGCGTGGCTCGACCAGGCAGAGAGCCGCGAGCGCCGAACGCGTAAACATCTGTATCATAACGATCCTCCACGACTCTCATTTTCACGCAGTTGTAAGATTTTATGTAATTTTTTGTGTAATTTCCAATAACCATAAGTTTTCTTGTCAAACCTCAAGTGAAATAAATATATTTTAATAGACTATTGTGTACCTATTAAATATGTGAATTTATATGGCTAATTTCTTTAATACTTACATTGCTTTTTTTAGACATTTTTATTACTTAGATACATACCTATACAATATACATACCTACTTCCAGATTCGTTCAGCCGTTCTGGCGTGAAAGAGTAACAAAGATCCATACTTACAAACTTTCACCTTTATCATATTAGTTCTCAATGTTAATAAAAATGTAGCTCAATGTTGTGTAATAATATTTTTTAGAAAAAAAACGCAATATGATATTTTCATTATGCTGAGTGAAAATGATGTATAATGTACCTACACTGGTTGTACAGATGAATTGGTCACCGTAAATCAAACCTCTATTACTCCCGTGGTTAAATTCCAAGCATTTAATTGATTTTTGGTAAATATTAAATTTTATTTTTAAAATTAACGCCTGTTACAATGCGAACGTTTGTCTTTCCTTGTTTTTTTTTCTAACCTACTTCAAACAATGGCGCTCGCTATTCTTGCTGCAGTGATGCCTTTTCTTGGGGGAGGCCTATGTCCAGCTGTGGGCGTGTTTGGGCTTAGATGAACTGAACATAGCACTAGCGCGGCGGGTCAAATTTATGCATACACTAACATAAATAATGCACTCAGAACGCTAATATTAGGTAAATTTTGTTATTTGTAGGTTCTATTATCATGTGCGATGGCCAAGTCATTCTATTAATTAAAGAAATAAATATATCTAATATTAATACGGTCACTATTAAATGTTGTAACTTAACTAATTCGGTAACGATTTATGACAAAGTTGTCGGATAGATGCTTCCATAGATAGGTAATGAATAAATTAACCGACTTGGTTTTACATTATATCTCATAGCTTTTTACGGTAGAAGAAATGCGTTGCGAGACTTGCAATTTTTTACAGTATGTTTTTGATGGTATAGAGATTATAGACATTGATGCTCGACTGTTCGGTTGAGCTCTTAAATTTAACAAATAATAAATATGTACCTAGTAAGGTACGTACATTGAATTTTGCTATAAATAGTAATTTATAGCGAAATTCAAAATAACCATGATGAAAAGCAAACACCGCCATCTGTGAACAGTAAATCTGCACTTCAAACTTTATGAAATCATTAATGATACTTTATAGATATTGCGCCATCTATTGAGTAATGATAAAATTACATTGTTTTTTAGAGACTTGTTTCTAAAGCGCTTTTATTTATTACTTAAATTATATCACAAATAAGCAAATTTAATAATTATGACTTAGTTATTATCTACGAATAATTAAAACCAAACTAATAAAAATATAGTAATACTAGAAATCGTCGCTAATACTTTAATTATTACGGTTTTATCTCCTATCTGAATACGATCGTGTCTTACATTCAAGTGTCAAAGATATGACATCTGTCAGTCTGGTACTGACAGCATAAAATATAAATTTCGTAAAACTGTTGAATATACACTCAATTTTTGAAAATCATTTACTCATTAAATTTAAGAAACAGTGAGAAAATGTCGGCGGAAAGTTCGCCGATAAAGTCTTCAAGATCTTTGAATAAAATTGACAGTCTCGATGACTTCGAAAACCAAGTATTAATAATGAGTTGTTACTTTCTCACCGCCTACTTTTGTGTTAACATTATCAAAACATTACATTTTCTAATTTTAGGATACATTGTTAAAACATGTTGATATATCAATTGTGGAGTCAGAAAAGCGCGCTAACGGTACTTTGCATGTACGCGATCACTACACCGTGTATCTAATTGATCTCAAGTAAGACCTCATTTAGTAATTATACCCCCAATTTAAGATATTAACGCTTTATTCATTTTTACTGTACTGATAACGCATGAAATACGACATTATCATGTGTTGTGTTGTGCAAACAATTTGTTTTGTTTGATAAGTAGGTTTATATAATCATTTTACCTTTCCTAAGTAAATTTTAAAGATACAATGATCTATATGTAGTGACTTCTTGTTATTTCTTAATACTAAATACTAAAGATTCATACAGTTATGTATATTTTAAAACTTGCTTCATTGTTTAAAAATATACTTTATCTGCTTTATATAACTTTCTTTATGACTTAGCCATATTTTATACAATGATTTGAATATTTAATTATAGCACATATACAATAGTAATAATAAAAATATTAACAAAATCGAAACATTTTCAGAGTAACAGATCCTGAATATAAAATAGTTCAGTCTAAAATAAGCACAATATGGAGAAGATACACAGAATTTGAACAAATACATGATTATATGCAAGTGACCTATCCACATGTTGTCATTCCACCTCTGCCAGAGAAAAGGGTATGTAAAAGTTTGAAAAGCTATAGTATTGATAGAGAGCATATAAGAAATAAATAAACTTCTAGATAGTCATTATTTTTGGACACAAATTGAAGTTTAAGCAAATATTTTATGTAGCTTTTGTAATATTTATGTACTACTTTTTAATTTTAAATGTGTATTTTTTTTATATTATTAAAAATTTATTTTTACAGTACACTAACGCTATATTTTTTCCTTATTGCTTAAAGAAAATCTTATAGCTAGTATTGATATGTCTTTTTAGTAGTACTTTTTTCTTTGTTCAAGTAGACAAAGAAAAATTTTGCATTAACTTAACGGTTACAATCTTTAGTGTGGTTAGAATTATTCTCTTACTTATCCGGAGTTTACCTGTTTAGAAATACATAGAAGTTGATGATGATGGATTGATGTAAGCTCGATAGAAATAGTATCACATCGAAAACCACAGATAGGTAGGTTATTGGGAACCTTGAAAGGGATTGGAGTCCCTTCCCTCCGAAAATCAAACCCTTTGACATAGAATATTGTGCTTATGTTGTCCTTATATTATAATGCCCTTGCATTATGTTGTCCTTACAACAATGAATCACTGTATTTAGAAATTACAAACAAAAGCCACACTTATGTATACCTGTAAATAGACTACAACTTGTTAACTGAATTTATTCTATTGTCTGCTATTGATTTATGCAAAAAGGTTCTACTATGCCCGCATGTTATTCTTTATACATATTATTATACATACATGAAAAACAAAAAAATCTATCCTACGGGAATCCTACATTTTTCCGGGATAAAAAGTAGCCTATGCATTATTATGATGCATGAGCTATATTATTGTAAAATTTCATTCAAATCCATTCAGTAGTTTTTGCATGAAAGAGTAACAAACATCCAGACATCCATACATCTTCACAAACTTTCGCATTTACAGTATTCATATAGATTGTAGGTATTTTAACAATAGCAATAATAATATTAAAAAAGAAACTCATATTTTCTACTATTTATATAGCTTGTGCTGATTCATTTAAATTATCCATTATATCTGAAGCAGCTGACATAAGAGACTGAAATTTTGACAGCCTATTTCTATGTCATAGATAACTAAGAAAGAACTTTTTAAAGGCCAACCTTAAAGAGGGTTAAATATTATCATGATTTAACCTGCCTTTCTTAATTTTTCCAGCAAGTGCATTACCAATAGTATAGTACCCACCTCATAATATGTTAACTTACATAAACCTTTCGTACAACCATCAGTTGTACTCTAAACACTATTTGATACAAGTTTTCTTCATTTTCTCAGGTTTTATATGCTTGGCGTAAATCTGATACAACAGATCCCGAGTTCATAGAAAGGAGAAGAGCTGGTCTTGAGAACTTCTTGCTACGAGTTGCATCTCATCCCCAGCTTTGTTTTGATGATCAATTCATAAATTTCCTCCAACAAGAACATGGATGGAGGGAGACCATAACAGATAGTGGTGAGTTCTTTTACTTTTTCTTAGAAAAAGTTTCTATATTTTATATATTGGGTGTGATAACTTTTTAACCTGTGTGGCTATACCTAGTTAATTCAATAAAGTTCCGTTTTCTAAATAAATTCAATCATGTCTATTGTTTAAACAAATAATTAATATTTTAAAGCAAAAGTGTGTTTGTTGATTTTCTGACTTGATTTTTTTCATTTTTGCATTGAGGTACTTTATCAGCGATAGTTAGTTTATATTATCAATTTAAATTAGATAAACATACAGAATTTTCATTGCAGGCTATCTTTTACATGCGGAAAATAAACTAAAGTCATTCTCAGTGTCTATAAGGCTTAAGAAGCCCGATCCTGAAATTGATGGGGTAAAAAACTACGGTAGGCTTCTTGAAACAAATTTAGGCAACTTTCTTTACACCAGGTAATCCTTATTTTATAACAAATGTATAATTCATCTATGAAGGGAAAAATAGCGAGAGAAAATTCCTTTATAATCTTTATTATTATTAAGTTCTTTTTCTTCTATCCTCATAATGGAAGAGCCTATTGTTTTTTTCATTTGTTAGTTTAAAGATTAGAGTATTTTGTCTCTTACAAATAATAATAATAATAATATAGTAGATGCAAAAATGTATTTCTTTGTCTTATATTTACAATTGATTTAAAGTTATTTTTACAGTTTTAATATTTATTTAAAACACAAATACATATAAGTACTAGAAATTTAAGTATTACAATAGAGGCAACTATTTTCAGGTCTAAAATTATTGAAAAGAATTACGCACTTTGTAAGTTACATGCTAACTATGGAAAGTTATTCAGTGAATGGAGTGTGATTGAGAAGGAGATGGGAGATGGATTGCAGAAGGCTGGCCATTATTTTGGTAAGAAATTCCATAAGCGGTTCATTTAAAAAAAATGTAAAAAATTGACAGTTTTTTTTTGTAAAATACTTTTTTTTATTATCGTTCCTAATTATCATTTGCTGTGCAAAATAAACTAAACATATTTTTATACTTATTATATAAGAAATGTGTTACTGGCATAATTATTATTTGTTACTGGCAACTCAATAGGATTTGTTAACAAATATTATTGTTATTTTCATATTTTGTAGGTTAATATGACCTTTATGCCATTTTCGTCATCACTCTCATATTGCATGCAATGCATATGAAATTATATACAGTACTTATAAGAAAAACACTTTTTTATTTTTGTCTGTCTGTTGGTTCTGGATAATCTGAAACGGCTGGACTGAATTTGACGGGATTTTCATGGGAAAATAGCTTATATTATAGGGAGTAACATAGGCTACTTTTATTTTAGAAAAAGAATTAGGGTTCCGCTCAAAATAAATAAAATGTACCTAGGGGCGAACCCGAGCGAAGCGAGGTTGAATCGCTAGTTCCTAATAAATATTCACACCAAACCGATATTTATATGATATCAGATTCGATAGCGGACTCGATAGAATCAGTAGCGGAGGATGAGGAGCAGTTGGCAGATCAGCTGAAGGAGTACCTGTTCTATGCAGAAGCGTTGCAACAGCTATGTGCCAACCACGAGGCGCTGCAGTGGGCGTTAGAGACAGCCCATGAAGCCCTTAATAACCGGTACTTGATTTTTCTGTAATCTTATTTTATTTATTTATACACCACAGTAATGAAATAAATACAGTAAACAAAGTATATACGTATCTTTGACGATACTTTTGACTCAGTTTGTAGTGACCCTACTTGCTGTACCAGCGGTCGCGGGTTTGAGTCCCGCTGGGGGCATTCATTTGTGTGATGAGCACGAATGTGTGTACTTTGGTCATTGGTGTTTATATTTATAATATGTATATATTTAAAGTTATATTGTGTAGTGTATCAACTATCTGGTATCCATAACACAAGTCTCGTAGCTGCTGTGTGTTAATGTCGCTAGTCTATAATAAAAAATTATCCTCAGGATAGCGGAAAGGAACCGTGCGGCGGCGGGCAAGTCGGGCATCATGTCGCGTATATTCGGCACCACCGACCCCGACATAGTGCGCGACCAGAGCACGCGCGCGCTCGACTCCAAGATACAAGCGGACAGAGACGCCATTGAAAAGGCCAGGAGAGACCTAGAGTGAGACTTGTATTTTTTTTAACGTCCCACTGCTGGGCACGACAGGCCATAGTGAGATTTGTTACTGTTAAAAAAAAGATTCCGACGAATGGAGAACCTCCTCCTATTTGGAAGTCGGTTAATAAAACTATCTTTTCGGATGTATTTTGATTTTTGGTTACCGACGTTTCGAACGCTTTACAGCGATCATGGTCACGGGAGATACTAAGGTATTAGACGTCTCGAAGTTCATTATATAGTTGTTACAGATAGCACCTACTCACAAAATTATAAAATGATTTTTTATAATTTGAATAAGTCTTATAATTGAATATGGAAACATCGGGAACCAAAAATCTAAATAAGTCCGCGAAAAAATTCGAAAATACACTTTTATTTTAAGCTCGGGTGCGTCCGTTTTCATGTTTTTGAGCGGAACCCTAAATCTTTTTATTCTCTGAAACGGCTGGACTGATTTTGACGGGACTTTCAATGGCAGATAGCTAATGTTATAAGGAGTAACATAGTCTACTTTTATTTTAGATAAAGAATTTGGGACCCGCTCAAGAAAATGAGGAAGTGCCTTTTTTTAACGTTGGGAAATGCATTTACGCACGAGGTTTGGGACTCACCGGCAAAGCCAGTACTACCCACTAAAACCCAACAAAACCTTCCCCCGTCTTAATGGGGCGTCGCAGAATCGCTTACGCATTCAACTACGACGCCCCGACGGCAGGTCTGCCAAAGCAGACCACCACAACCGTGGGGTTGTTCCAAGGTCCACTCTGCTATCAGAAAAGTACCAGGAGCAACCCGCATGGTACACCGCCCACCGGAGTGTGCCACCTCCTTGTGCTCGCGCCCGGCTGGATTGCCGGGCACTACTGAGCCCCCCATCACGACAAGGTGAACGCACGCTGGGAGGGATGGTGGGGGGGGGGGGGAATATAGAATGTATAGAGAACTCTTGTACTCATGTTTTTATTTTGACTTCTAATAATTGTATCCTTGTAAATATCTTTAAAAAAACTATGTAAGGAAAATAAATACATTGTAATTTTTATGCTATAGTTAACATTTTATTTACAACAAATCTTCTTGCAGAGACTTCACAAAGAAAGCTACAGTGGAAATAGAACACTTTCAAAAGCAGAAAGACAAAGATCTACATGAATCACTCGTTGCATTCATTACTCTGCAAGTGAAAGCGGCCAAAAAGGTGATTATTTTTTATCATTTTTCATTTTCTCCATTAATCTGATCATCTTAGTAAATTTCTTACCGACTTTAAAAAGTACCTAATTCGGATGTATCTTTATATATATAATTCTGTTTGAAATTTTCAAATTAAAGACGTGTAGACAGGACAACGTCTGTCGAGTCCGCTAGTTTTTTAATAAAGAATAATATAGGCAGAGTGTCATAGAATTAAACACGAAGCCAAACAATAATGTTTTAAAACAGTATACAAATATTAATAGAATAAATACTACATTACTGTGATAAGTAAATAAATTATAAAATAGCTAACAGATTTTTATTATTATAATACAGATAAAAAAGCTATTATTATGTTAGCTCTGTTAAGGACGAGAACTAATGTAAAAAAATACAAAAGGATATACATAGTACTATTTTTATTGTTCATATTTTATTCTCAAAAAGTGATATTAATTTAACTAATACATAATGTAATATATAAAATTCTCGTGTCACAGTGTTTGTAACAAAATTTCTCCGAAACGGCTTGACCGATTTTTATGAAATTTTGTGTATATTCAGTAGGTCTGAGAATAGAACGTTAACTATTTTTCATACCCCTAAGTGATAAGGGTGGTCCACCCCAAAAAAAAAAAATTTTTAGAAAAAAAAAAATTGTTTTAATTTTTTTGTGATTCGGCATTAAAAATACCTACAAAACCTAAATTTTGATTAGGGACGAACCCGAGCCGAGCGAGGGTGACTCGCTATAAGTATGTAGTATGTATGTAAAATTTCCCTTATTCTTTAAAGAATTCAAGAATTAGCATCAACTCCAGCTACTATTTTGAGCCATATTTTTTGGGGACAATAATCCCATATAGGGAGTAAACCAGGGCTCGGAAACCCATTCAATTTTTAAACCAATTTTGGTTATTGACCTCAAACCGAAAGGCTTTTCGGTTTAAGTTTTCGGTTTAAGTTTTCGGTTACGTTTTTTAACCGCTTAAATCCAGGAGAACAAAATTAACCGGTTAAAATGAATTTTTGTGTGTTTACATTTGGCACGTCTTTGCTAATGGTGAATGGCTTCGTAGAAGGATGCATGCGCGTTTTTTACCTATGAATGAATTAACCGGTTTATTTCGGTATCAAAACCGAAATCCAACCTTCCTCTAAGAATAACCGTTAACGATTATTATTTCGGTTAACTAAACTGTTCGTTTTCATTAATCGGTTAAAGAACTAGCGACGAATTAACCATTACATTACCGAAATAAACCGGTTTTTTTAACCTGTTCCGTGCCCTGAATAAAACACTAGGGGGCAATAGTGCTGCCGTTTACATTTCGCGCATGGTTCCCATAAAGAATAACTTTGGAATTTAAAATACAGTTATCGTTTTATTTATTTTCCAGAACCTACAAGCGTGGACGCAAATCAAAGAATGTCTACAAAATATGCCCTAAACAACAGAGTGACCAAACATTTCACGCATAATTCATTTTTATATATTATTATCTAATACATATGCGAATTTGTACAATTTTGTTATTGTTTGTTATTTTGGATTTCGGTTTTACATAAGTATTGATAACTGATTGTAACCTAAGAAAGGATATGTTATAATTATTATAATTTTATGGGATAAGAACTGTCCTCTTCGATTAATAAAATACTTATTTATTCATATAAATTTTCAAACATGTTTATTATTTTTAATGTTTATTTTAAAGGAGATTCTCGTCAAAATATACACTATACATTCCGTTTTCTTATAAGATAATTGAAGTTATAATTATTTAAAAAAGTATTATAGAGATATGAGTTGATTTTTTTTTTGGAAATTTTAGTTATCGTATAAATTATCAATACAATGAGTTATAATCAACGGTTTCAAAGTATGGAGAGTAGAGGTAAAGAGTACCGTTTTATATGAGGGGAATTAAAAAAGTGTCCATCTTGTATACTGAAAATAGATGGCGCTGGCATACGAAGAACTACGATATGAATTTAATGCAGTCTATAATACAAATATTATAAAGAGGTAAAATCTCTGGATCTACTGAACCGATTCAGATGAAATTTGGTAAGAAGTTTGTTTGAGAACCTGGGAAGGACATAGGATACTTTTTATCCCGGAAATCATCCCTTAAGGGGATGAAAATGGGGATAAAAGTTTGTATTGGGAAGCAAGCAATGTAAAAAAGCAGTCTAAAAGAATTTAGTAAATATAACCATCCTTGTTTATTACTTTATATTTCTCTAATTACTTTTGGCGCTGCCTTTAAAATTAATCCTACGCTACCGCAGCGCCACCCTTTAGACGCGTTTTTACAGACACTTTTTCATACACACCTCCTACCCTCTACCCTCCATACTTTAAAGTATGCAAGTTATCAATACTAAATGTAAATCTGTGTTATAAAGAAATTTTGCAAATTATTTTTCGCTTATGTAGATTCAATGATACATATATTAATTGCTTGATAATGGTACAGATGGCGCTAGTAACATGTGTCTTTTGAATAATTTGGTCGTGTAAATACAATTTAATATTATGTCAAAAGAAAAAAAAATCAACGTTAATGTTATAATAATATCAAATTTTTCCAATAACCAATATAATATAACCTTATATAATAGATATATGCATTTTTAAAATGTTGTTTTTTTTAATCTGTTTATGGACACATAATGTGTTATATATAATGCTCCGAAAAATTAAACTTTAGAGATTAATCGAAAAAAGATATTGTATATGTTTTATTATATTATGTTTGTACTTTTCCCTTTTTCTTATTTTATTCCTGTAATTTTTTTCAATACTTCTTTATGAATTAATCATTTACGTCATTTCTCCTATTTTACTTGTAATACTATTACCATCGATCAAAAAAGTACTAAATACACAATCCCATGCAAAAGTTCTCTTAAAACTATCACTAATTGTGTTTAGGTAATTATTGTAGTTGATATAAATATACAACAATGTAAATTGAACCTTAAATGCAATGCCTAAAGTTGTTTTCACGAAAAAATAAAAGCGCTCATTCGGTGAGGACATTTTATTTTTGCTGTTTGTGTATCTAGTAATTTTTTGATCGATGACTATTACCGTTAAAGTAAGCCTAGAATTTTTAAAGAAATAAAAATACTATTTTTCTATAAAGTACATGAATGGAATATAATATTTGATTCCTATTGGTTTCTATTTACTGGTGTGACATAGACCGGGAGATAGCGATAGATAATTCCTAATCGTTTGACACTAACATGGCAACACGTGAAAGGTCGTATTTTGTTACGTAATAAGCAGTCACAAAACGATTAAAAGTACCAAAATATTTGAAGATATACTTCTTTTGGCACGTTTGGAAAAAAATATGAGAGTAAAATTATTACGATGCGCGCGTACACCGACAGCCAAAAAGCGACATGATGAAGTTAGCTGAAAGCAACATGATGAAGTTAGTTGCATTACTTTTACAAACAGAGAGTTGTGACATACGGGATGAAATCTTTAGCTATTTTTGTTCTGTTACGACAAAGAAGTATAACTTCTTACGTGCGTACATAAGTACACGCACTTTTTTTAGTTTAAAAAAAGTATATTACTAATTATCTTACTAGTAATGAATAATCATTTACTAAAATCACCAAGGTTTTATTCTCTTATTCAAGGGACCATTCGGTGGCCATATTTGGAACAAATGACTGAATTTTCTGACGGTATCTCTTGCAATATATTATTATTATAAACTATTTATTTATAAGACTCTATGAAATATATACATGGTTTTAAGAGTAAAATAAAAAAAAACTTAAAGAACATATAACTTTTAATAAAATAGGTTAAATTGTAAGAGTTTGTGTATTAGCGCCATCTATTGATTATTTATTCGCCTATTCACCCTAATTAGTATACACTGTACAGTTTCAAAATGTAAATTTTTATATTATAAAGTTATTTAAATATAGAATTTTGTTTTATTTATCGATGCCTTTAAAATGTAATAATAATAATAATGTATAATGGGACATTAACACAGCACCATTTAGTACCATGATAAGCTACGAAGCTTGTGTTATGGATACCAGATAGTTGATCCACTACACATATATAACTTTAAATACATACATAATATACATATAAACATCCATGACTGGAGTACAAACATTCGTGCTCATCACACAAAAGCCCCCATTGGGACTCCAACCCGCGACCGCTGGCACAGCAAGTACAAACTAAGCCAAACGTGTTGTCGTCGTAATAGATTTGAAAAACTAAATAAACAGCTTATTGGCTAACTATATTGGGACTTTAAATCGCTTGCATTGAAAGTGTTTCTAGTGGCCATTTTAGAATTTCACTGTCCGCCTCCTAGTTCCTTTAACAGATGCTCGATGGCATCACTCATCCGGACTGCACGTATGTAGGTACACATTTTGAAATCAATACGATTTATTTAGACTTTACGGACTTAAGTATGAAAAGATGAGATTCACACAGAATTTTATATTGTGTTACACTTTAATAATTATATGAATTATTAATCATGTAAAAAAGGATTTATCTTCTATACATATAATTTAATTCTGAGTCGAATCTGTACATTAAATATGTTTTGGAAAATCTTATTGAAATAGTCATCACTATCGATACAGTGGCTGGATCTATAGTTTTTAGAATTTTTGTTTGTCTATCTGTCTGTGACCGTATCGCGAGAAAACTACTGAACAGATTTTGATGTAATTTGGTATGGTGATAGCTGGTTATCCGGGTCAATACATAGGAGACATTTTATTGTGGGAAAATATGTCATTTCTGAGAAATCTATATTATACGTTAAAACGTACCTAACTAGAGACGAACCCGAGCGGTACGAGGGCGAGTCGCTAGTATAGTAGAGTATAATTATTTATTTGATTTGAGTGTAAAAAGGGCGGGAATCCGTTGTGTTTTGTATTACGATTGAATGAATTACGCCATTTGTTTTCGTAATATTTGAGGCGTTACTATGACCACAGATCACATAATACTATACTAGCTATGACTTTGTACATAATAATGAAAACTGTGTGAAATTACATCGAATTTTACCCGGCCTACTTCTGAAATACAAAGTAAAGTATAAAATATTTAAAGGACGCGCGTTTCAACAAAAGTTGAGACTACGCTATTGGATTATTAAAAAACTAATAATAAATAGTCTAATTATAACTTAACAGTCAACTTTCCACGCACTACCAAACTGTGGAACCAACTCCCATCGACTGTGTTCCCGCTTGACTACAACATGGGGTTATTCAAGGGGCGGACCAATAAAGTCCTGAAAAGCCGGCAACGCATTAGCGGTGCCTCTGGTGCTACAAATGTTCATGGGCGGCGGTAATCTCTTAACATCAGGAGACCCGCCTGCTCGTTTGCTCGCTAATATTATAAAAAAAAAAAACTTCCTAACCTTGAATTATTATTTAATATTCTGGAAAATGAACTAAATGATTTACTTACCTATATTTAAATTTTTTTTTATATAAAGTCTATTTTTTCAATGGCCATGATAACTTACAACTATATTAATATTTATTTTTTTATTAAGATTTCATACCACTGGGAAATGCGTCAACTCATACAGGTATTATAGGTGGTGTCTTTATGGTGACTCTCGGGATAGAGAACACACTAGAACACAATATTTTTTAATCGCATTACCGTTTTAATTGTACCTTTCCCAATATTATTAGGACTAAGATGGCTCTTAAGCAATGTAAAAATAATGTGAAGCATATGTAATGCTTGAATGAATATATTATGAAAATGGCAAAGTATCTAATTATGTACTCTGTTTAATTTGATATTAACAATGTATATAAAAATATTATGTATAGATAAGTACTTTGTGTATTCATCTGTGTATCATGACATGAATTCGTTAACCTTGTATGATAATAAAAAAATACCAAAAACCTCTTTTAAAACCACGTAACCCTCTTTAAAATATTATATTATAACCAGGATCATCAATAACCAAGTCATATTGATTCAAACTTTCATTTAAAACCACATATATTATATGTAGTAGTTAATTCATTAAATATGTATATGTATATATATGTATATGTATATATGTATATAGGTAGATAAATAATAAATATCATAAGGTACTTATTAATTTTTCAAATGAAAACGATTATTCCAGCTATCACGTTCTAAGTTTTATGCTAGCCTCACAATTGCTACTGTCGCACGCCATCATTTTATTCTTTCTATCGATTTATTGATATCATATATCAAAAACTGACGGTGCTTTTCTTTCATTACTTTGATTATGATAAGAGAATACATACATTTCTATGTTTTTTTATGATTCTCGCTAATATCGATTTTGATTCGAATGTTGGTGTGGTAATTTAGATAGCTTTATAACATCTCATAAAAAAGTTGTCGTAGAAGGAATGTGAGAGTCAACATTTTCGTGCATTTCCCAGGGAATTTCCCTTTGTTATATTTTTTTGTTTGTTTGTTTGGAGCATGATAGATACGCTTTGTTGAAAGCCCGGACTACGGACAAACGCTCTGCGGCGGCCATAAACAAGTGATTTTTGATACGTAAAATAACTACTTTAAAACAGTCCCAAGGTACCTACAAAGTAGTCCCTAGTTGACATATTAGGCTAAAAACTTATTATTATTGAAATGTAATAATGCCCATGGCCGCCATGGGCCATGTTTTTTTGGTTCATTGTAGATTTCCAATGGTGAAAGAATAATTAAAATCATTTCAGTTTTTTAAAACTTATCAAGTTCAAACAAACAAATCTTTACTCTTTATAATGTGTATTATTATTTATTATTAAAATTGAACGTTGTGATGCTATTTTTAGGTTAAACTATGTACAATTTTTTTTAAATAAGATTTAAAAGATTAAAGAAGTATAAAATCAACATATTCACATTTCAGTTTCCCATTTTGTTTTTTTTTTACAAACAACGAAAGGCATATATCTGCCAGACACAAGGCAGACATTTGTATATTCTGACTCGTTCTTTGTTCAAATTTGAAGTGACGATATATCTGTGCCACACCAAAAGGACAAATTGTTCGAAAACACGCCATATATGACACGAACTTGGTCTAAAATAACCATTTGCTAGCCTGTTTAGGTGTTACATCAAATTTATGGACTTTTACGTTATATTCTAATTTAATTTATTACTATAGGTAGAGGAGGTACTTCCTTGTATGTTTAATTTATCAAATAATTATAATCTTGCTGTTTTTCTGATATTGAGCCTTCTCTATACTATGTTAATTTAGAAATGTTTAATTCTACTATAATAAAACGGTGAATATTGGAATACCTTATTAGAAATTTTATCACTTTCTAGATTAAAAATGTTTAAAGAACTTGAGTAAGAAGATCGTTGTTGCGCAGTGCGATACAGTCAGGACTTGATTACTCCGGGTTTGATTACCGCACATCACAAATAAAAATGTGCTCAGCAATATTAGCTTTACACATAATACAAGACTACGCTTTCAAAAGTTTATAATATGATATGTAATTAGTATCAATAAAACACACACTATATCAATTATGATATATCAGACAAAATAGAAGCAAGATAAAAATAAAATAAAAATATTTACGTTTAAAATTGAAAAATTGTGAAGTCACCATAGGTTCACTACCTCTGAGCATGAATAATTGCTTGACAGTGTCGACAATGAATCGATAGAAAGTAGGTCACTTTTAATACAACCTTCTCATAACAATACACGTCCAACTTCTAATACATTTGTTATAAACGATTTTGAAAAAAAAAATGTTTGTCAAAATTTCTTGAGAATTTCGGTGCATCAAAAATGAATAGCGTCTAATAAAATTAATTCCCAACATAAGCTTATTATAAAATATTAACCGCATCATCTCCATTTTACGTGACATTGGCGAAGTAATAAGGCTCAAAAGGCACGCTTTGAAGCCATTAACAAGAAAAATTGAATTGAATTGCATATTAAATTATTTTTCGATTGAATTATTGTAAGGATCATTTAAAAAGATTTAAAATGAAGCACCAACAAGTAAATGTAGACTACTGGGCAATGGCTAAAACAATGTTTACATACGGCGCACTGACAGCACTGTGTTGGATTATGTTGCGACTTTTCCACACTGTGTTTACATTACCTCGAAGATTGCGGTCGCAGCAGGAAAATATACAGAATACTTTACAAGAACTACAGGTATTGTACTTTTAACATCTATTTTTTTCTACTAGAGCTCGAGCGCGTCCTTAGATGCTTAATGTTTAGCCTATAAGTTACTTCAGGTCATAATTTATTTGTGTACATACCAGTGGCATTTAATTTTTTAAATGTTTAAATGTTCTTTGTTAAACTATATATATATCTTTATATATATAATTCTTCTGTGAGTGTGTATGTCACTGAACTTCTCTCAAACGACTGGACCGATTTTGATGAAATTTTTTGTGTGTGTTCAAGGGGATCTGGGAATGGTTTAGATTCACAATTGTACACGGTAGGTGGCGCTGCTGTCGGTGTGACAAAGGGTTTGTTTTTTTAGTAGTTTAATCGCGGGCGAAGCCGCGGGTACAGCTAGTATATATATATATATATATATATATATATATATATATATATATATATATATATATATATTCACCCTTCGCCACTGGTACCTACTAAACTTTGTCCAAAGTTCAGCTATTTAGAGTGGAGAAGTAACAAATATACATATTACATACACGTACTTAAACTTTCGTACAATGCTTAAAACGGTCAAATTAATTGACAAGCACGCATAATTTGTCAAATAATTTTTGAACTTGTTTAGGCCTCTATCAATTGTACTGTTAATGATGATTATAGTATAGTAGAGACGCCTTGCTGTTTTCTGCAGCTGCCATCTCATTAATGAAACTTTTTTTGAACTAACTTCATCACCTCTTGCTAGATATTAATTTCCAAAATTCTTCCTAGAATATTCTAAAGTTCTTTGGCCTTAGGTCGTCTAGGTCTGGATTTGGACTACACTTCAACATACATACATACACACATTAAAACAGGTTTTTATATAGTTTAAAATCATTTGATATATTTTTATATAACATAAGCTATATTACATTCAACTTATTATATAAAACAATTAGGTTGTTCCATAAAAAATGATTAGATTCATAACGTAATATCATTTTATACCTGATAAAATTGAGCTTTATCTTATCTATTTACTCTTATCGACTCGAGTAACATTTAATATTTACAGATTTAAATTTTTGATAAGACCGCAACAGCATTCATTACTTACAAAAATAAAATATTTTTATTTTAAAGCGACTTCATCGATGTTGCTGAAGTATTTGTCTCGCTAGTCTAGTGGCTAGAATGCACAGCTGCAGTTCCTAAGTTCACAAGTTTGAATTACGGGTTGAACCAAGAATAGTACCTAATAACGATTTTATGTTAATATATTCAAGTACTATTAAAAAATTGGTTCTGCTTATGACTGGTTAACTGACTATATTTTTTTATAGTAATATTAAAATATATTTAAACCATATTGTTTAATTCATTAGTAATTATCAAGAACATAAACATTTTTTTTCTGCTGAGAATAATATCCACGAACTTTCGCACAGAAATATTTAAATATATCAATTAATGTGTAATTACGTCACTGCGTCCGCCATAAAGAAAAATTAGTTAATTTTATATACATTATTTTATTCATATTAATCCTTAACATTTTATATTTACAGAAACGGTTTCCTGATCTTAATATCACTGAAGATGATTTAAAGAATGCTGAGAAGGAATTAGAAGAATTTATGAAAGAAGACGAGAATAAGAAAAATCAACTTGAAAAAGTAGAAGAAAAAGAAGAAAATAAAGAGGGACTTAGAGAAAATATCAGTGGTGAGGATGTATCAGAGGAAAAAAAGAAAGAAAAATAGTTGACTCGTGTTACTTCTATAAGTTACATAATTAAGCACGATTCTTAGCAAAATATTGTAATTCATATTTTATAAATATAATCTTTTAAGATCATTTATTCACAAAGTCTATGTATAAATAATAGTAATTCAAAGTCACATTACACACAGTTTATATTTTATTTGTATTTTAACGTCTTTACAGTTAATGTGTAAATATTTCCTACAAAGTGGTTTTAATAAATGTTATTCTTACACTTTATATTTAGAATATATCTTTAAAATATATCTATTAAGTGGTTCTTATGTATGAAACAATGATTTTGAATCTGTAGAAAACATTTAAAATACTATATTATACTAGCAGTACCCGCGGCTTCGCCCGCGTTCAAACTTCCGATCGCTAACAAAATTCACAGGATCACCTGCTGGGCTAATCTGAAGATTACCTGAAAATTTCATCAAAATCGCTATAGGAAACATACATACACACATCGATTTTAATTTTATTTAATCAACAATTTAAATTTCTTTATTGCTCGGAAAATGAAGTCTTTTATGAAAATTTTGTGACACACCGACTGCAGCGCCACCTACCGGATTCATTTGTGAATTCAAACCTTGCAGAAGCCCATTGAAATATACACACACATAAAATTTTATCCAAATTGGTCCAGTCCTTTAGGAGGAGTAGGTTAACAAACACACGTACAGAAAAATTATGTATATTAAGATATCAACTTTTTCTTTAATGCTTAAATGCTAACTTAAATTAACTCCCACGAATGAACTTAGTATCCAAAGTGATCAACAAAGCTTCGTAATACCAAGCTTTTCTAACAGATGGCGTTAAATGAAAGTTAATATAAAAGCTCGCGAATGGACTACAGGCGTGGTTACAACTTACAACAGAGCTTTCTCCCGGCTTAATTTTATTGATCGCTCCATTCACGTAGCGTAAATACTTTTACAAGACGATTTCGGTGTTATTTTATCAGTCGGTCGATGTTCACTGTACTCTAATAATAGATAGCTGTTATCAACTAGCATGCATAAACAATCAGTTGCCGGTCTGTATTGTCATATGTAAGACGTGTGTTAATTAGTGATAAGTGAATGAATTGTACGGCACAATGACTAGATCGAGCTATAGGCCGCTAGTTCCGAGATCTTCGAATAATTCCCTTGAAACTCATGAAATTGGGTAAGTTTTATGAGTTACATATATTTTATATTAAAATGAATTTTTTATAGTATTTTTGATAACGTTATCGGAAATATGTATCTAATTAAAATATTTTAGATCATGTATAATTATTAATTACAGTGCAATTGATTATAGAGTTCATTACTCCATGTATTTCTCGTTTAAAACGTGTTTTCCCACCTGCTTATATTGCTTTTACAGTCAAGTTGGATTTTAAATGGTTGCCAAAACCTGGTTAATGAAACCACTTTCTTAATAAAGGTTACTTTTTTTGATATGTTAACTGTACTGTGTACATTCTACTAAAATTATAAAAAATTTTCCTGATTTACTCACAAAAGTAGGTAAGAACGGTAATATCCAGTTAATTTAAAAAAAAATATTATTTTATCATTTTACAATAAAAAATGAAAAGTAAATTGTACATATACTGTTATACATTATTTTTTTTATTTAATCTTTATTGCACACAATATAAATATAAAAAGGTACAAGTATTGTTTCTATTTTACATAAAGCGTTCAAAGGCGGTCTTATTGCTAAAAGCAATCTCTGCTTTAGTGAAAGGATTTAAAATACGAAAACGGGACGGCGCTATCAAAATACGGATTAAATTATTTAATCTTTGTAAATAGACAATATTTTTTTTTATTTTCATTCCCTGAATGCCATCTTTAACGAGTTTTTTTTACTGTTTAATGTTGTAATAGCATATTTAGTATTCTGGGTACTGTTCTCCAATACCAAGATATACGAAGATATTGACAGGATGCAATGAATGATCCATACAAATATAAGCGTCGAGTCATTGATCTCCTACAAAGTAAACAATACCAAACATACAATAAATATATACGCCCCTAATGCGCCACAATTGTCATTACTAGAATAAAGCTAAATATGTTCAATGTTCATATTTTTTAATTAATTATTATTATTTTTGTATAGCCTTAGTGTACATACGTTCAGTCTAATTAAAAAAATAAATAAAAAGCTTATATCGATTTACCGCGGCTCTGACGAGGTACTTTTTTAAATTTATCATTTTAAATTGAATGATTTTAATTTGTGGTAAAAAGCTTTAAAGTAATTTTTCTTTCTATTTCTTCTACCAATTTTCAATTTTCGAAATATCAAATCTCTTTAACAATAGATAAAAAAAATATCTAATAATTTATTTTTTAAAATAGTCTATGCCCTTTCTAAGGGTATCCCACAAACACCTAAATTAGTTCAGTAATTAAGCTGTGAAAACGAAGCAAGTTATAGACAGTACGTATTGTTTAACTATAAAGATAAGTTCGTTATATTGCAAATGTTGCAAAGTTTACTTAGAATAAATATTTAATCATCTTCTGTTCGAGTAGGTACCTAACTAAGCCTTTGTTATGAGCGTAAGGGAAACTATATTACAACATGTAAGATAAGAGAAGCTTATTGATAATATGTATCTTGTGAAAACATTATGTTCTTACTTATCTTTTCTACTTAGATACAAATTTTATCTAATAAAGTTATAAGTCTACACATCTCATTCAGGTTATTATATTTTTAAAATAAAAAAAAATCAGTCAAACTGTTCTTGGCCCAACTCAGGCCTCAAACCGATGATATGCAGCCATACATCCCAAAACGAGTACAGTACATCTATTAGGAATATAGTATTACGTTTCTTAGGTTAATATTTAACCGACTTCCAAAAAGGAGGAGGTTCTCAATTCGTCGGAATCTTTTTTTTTTAATAAATACTTAAAACCCTTAAAAATTAACAAAATTAGAAGTCTCTTATATAATACTCAATAATGTGTAAAATTTCAAACGGTAAACGGTTTGTTGGGTACAAAGGGTTAACTAATCTAAGGCTAGGCGCATTTGTGTCAAATGTCAATCTATTTTTATTTTGGGATACTTTAACCTACATGTGAAATATGAATGACCTTATGTGAATGTTCGGACTATATATTATTAGAATGAAGGCAGTGGTAGTCCAGTGGTAGCGCGCTCGCTTGGGAAACCGATTAAGCGGGTTCAAATCCCGGGTTTCGAATCATTTCTAACACGATTACCACTTGCCTTACAGTGAAGGAAAACACGTGAGGAATGCATGTCTGAGAGAACCTAGCAAGTTTTCGAAAGACATGTGAAGTCCGCCAACCCGCACTTGCCCAGCGTCATGGACTACGACCTGATGCCCCTCGTATTGAAGGGAGGCCCGTGCTCAGCGGGACGTTGAAAAGGGCTGAATACGTACATAGTACATACATACATTATTAGAATCCCCTGGACTTATGGGTTTCCGAAATTCAGTAGAGGTTTCGATGGACGTAAATATTATATAAACTGCACCTTTACATAGTGGTGTTCGCGTCGTTCAGTATATAACCACATTTTGTGAATTTATAACGGTAACCCAAAATGTAAAAAGTCCTTTTTGACTCTGCATAAACGAGCTCAGTGGCGTACCATAGAAGAGGTCTATGTCCAGCAGTGGACGAAAGCAGGCTGAATATGATGATGATAATGATGATGAAACTACGCATTTAAAATGATGTCAATCTATTGATCCGTGTGTGTGTATAAGAATTACATATAAACAAACACACTGTCGAATTTATTGTATTATTAAGGAAATAAAGCTTTATTTTGCCCTTCTTTGCCCTTTTGCCTCGAGGCTTGAACATTATTAAGTTACATAGGCAACATAGCGTTGAATGTTTTGCCTCATATTGTTAAATCGCGTTGTTTGTTTATTTATTACATACGCTTTCAGAAATAATAATAAGGGTTGCAAAATTTGTATATAAAAAAATATTTTTAGCCATCCATGTATATTTAAAATTTGATACGTTTAAATATGAAGAATTATATAAACCTATAATTGGCAAACACAATATAAGTATAAAAATAATATTGTAACAAACAAATGGTTTTTATACTTGTAAGGGATTTATAAAATTAGTATTATTGAGTGTCAAATTATAAAAATATCCGGGCATAAAAATTTGAACTGAGTAGAATCTGTACATGAAATATATTTTTTTAAATCTTATTGAAATAGTCCTTATTATCGATACAGAGACCGAATCTATAGTTTTTTGAATTTTTGTCTGTCTGTCTGGAAACGAATCACAAGAAAACCGCTGAATAGGTTTTGATGAAATTTTGTGTGACGATAGCTACTCGGATCAACATATAGGATATTTTTTTTTCGCGGGAAAATATCTTATCTCTGAGAAATCTGTACTAAACGTTTTAATAAACATATATAAAGTTTTAATAAATATATATAATCTAGCGTTTGCCCAGTGATCGATATTCGACCATAATCGTTATTAAATATCTTGAATAAACATAAATGAGTAGAATTTACCTATCTATTTAAAAAAATCTATTTCCAAAAAAAAAATTGATGTCAATAAAGCTAGTCAATACCTACTAAGCAAAAAAAAAATCGGATGACAAAGAGAGGAGAAAAAGGTATTAAAATGTTTTGTCTTTGCCCATTTATATATAGATTGTTTTTATCTTTTATGTAGATTGATAGACAAATTAAATTATAAGGTTAATTAAAATAAACTTAGAAACCTTTCTGTAAGAAATGTGTTTGTGTCTGAAGTTGGATGGTAGCCAAGAAAATAGCAAGCCACAGTATATTTACAACGATTGCTCAGGTCAGGGCTACTTTCTTGCTCTTTGACCTTTCTAGATATTATATTTGAGATAAAGGGTTTGATGAATTAAAAAGAGTAAAGTGATATCAACATTTTTATATTAAAATATTACCAACAATTATAATGTAATTGAATGTAGG